ACGTACGTAGTAGAGTAGAGGTAGAAGTAGAGAGTAGAGTAGGAGGTAGTAGTAGTAGTAGAGAGTAGAGTAGAGTAAAGAGAGAGAGAGAGAGAGAGAGAGAGAGAGAGAGAGAGAGAGAGAGAGAGAGAGAGAGAGAGAGAGAGAGAGAAGAGAGAAGAGAGAGAGAAAAGAGAGGGAAAAGAGAGAGAGAGAGAGAGAGGGAGGGAAGGGGTTTTTTTGGGCTACGGATGGAAACAGAGCATTATTTAAAATAAATAGGGGTAGAAACGTAAATTACGATTAAAAAGAGGGGAGAGGGTTTCCGTTCTCATCTTTTTAACGTAAGGGGGGGGAGGGTGCGGTGAACATGTCTTGCTCCCCAAACAAATGCAGATGTATATGAAGATGGAGTACACACTAACACAATTTCAACAATCTGACATCACAGACACCAGATGCCATCAAGCGCATAGGGGCCTAAGGTAGGATAAAAATAGAATAATCATGTCCGGGAAAGGACGGTGATTCTTTTTAACCAGTAAGATAACCTAAGGACTTAATGCTTTCTTCCCTCCATGGACTCCTTTGGAATGCAGGGTAAGTTCCAAAATTTAATCACCAGTATAGAACTTCTAAAATTCAGTCGATGACATAGGACAATGACCTTAATAGTTCAACACATGCTGAATGAATATGTAGAAAGAGGACAAAAGTAGTATACACAATGACATAGGACAATGACCTTAATAGTTCAACACATGCTGAATGAATATGTAGAAAGAGGACAAAAGTAGTATACACAATTTTGAAATGAAGTCCTACTTCAAACCTCTACGACATGCACCAAGACTAAATTGAAGAGATGTCATGAACATGATCCTTAGCATGGGGTCACCACATACAGGTAAGACAGGAAGAACAAACACTCACATGAAGGGGCCTCAGCCACCCCTCTTTGCTGCTGAAACAGTGGTTTCTGATCAACACCACTCTGATGTTGCATTAAACCCCCTGATGCCTGTAGTCTTTGATGCATATCCTGTTGCATCGAGCCTGGTTGTTGTTGCATCACTTGTTGCTGCTGCTGCTGCTGGTGAGCTTGAAGCTGAGACATGAGCTGTTGCTGTGATGTTTGGGACTGAGACTGTGCACCTTGCTGATTCAAAAGGGTTGATGAAGCTTGTTGAGATTGAGCAACTCTTGGCTGATGGAGAAGCTGATGAATATTATGCTGATGCTGAGACACACTGGATGGTTGCTGTTGTTGTAGACCAGGAATACTGTTTTGTTGGCCCAATTGTTGTTGTTGATGCATATTGGGGACATTGTTTTGTTGAGCCATTTGTTGCATGTTCGACAACATATTTTGCTGACCCAACATCCTCTGTTGCTGTTGTTGCAGGTCAGGGGGATTACTCGCCTGCGGACCCAACATCTGATTCATATTTGATGGAGGTGCTTGTTGCTGCTGCTGCTGCTGCTGTTGTTGTTGTGGTTGTTGTTGCCCCATTTGCTGTTGAGATGGAAGATTTGGTTGCTGAACTATGGAGTTTTGCTGCTGGTGTAGCATGCTTGATGGAACAGATTGCTGGGTTTGTGATTGCCTTAAGATCGATTGCTGAACTAAGGATGGTTGAGAGGACTGGGCTTGCTGGAGAGACGGCTGACTAGACTGGAGGCCACTGGATTGTTGGCTCGATTGCATGAGACTTTGTTGTTGTTGTTGTTGTTGTTGTTGTTGTTGTTGTTGCTGCTGCTGTTGCATATGGGTTTGTTGCAGGAGAGAAGGTTGAAGGTGCGCCTGCTGTTGCTGAAGCTTTTGCTTCATTAGTTGTTGATGAATCTGTTGCTGATAAACTACATGGGACTGCTGGTTTTGCGGTTGTTGCTGAGAAACCTGTGGAAGCTGGTGCTGTCTAACTTGGAGAGGCCTTTGAGAGTTTGAGAACATGTTCTGGTTTGGTACTACTCCATGCCCAACTGTGCCGGTCATCGAGTTTTGAGAAAGTCCGGTCATTGAGTTCTGGAGCGAAGAGCTCTGGCTGATGACATTTGAGATGGCAGGCTGAGCTAGGGTCGACATCGTAGAGAGGGCAGGCGGTAAATTAGTCGAGCCTTGCATAGCACCCGATGGGATGGTAGTTGAAAGATTTTGTTGTAGAAGTTGTTGTCGTGATTGCACTTGATTAGCCAAGGGCATTGACATGGGTTGGCCTTGGTTGCGCACTTGCGATTGTAGGGCAATCGAAGCTGCGAGGAAGAAATGATAATATTGAGAATGTCAAGGGAAAAGAAAACATGGAAAGATTATTATATCTTTTTCCTGCAGACTGAAATGTTTCTAAACATATACAATATCATATATATATATATATATATATATAGTAG